GTATAATATGGCAAAAATGTAAGATATTATATTCTGAAAGAAACTTAAAAAGTACACATAATTTGGGGCTGGGGATGTGGCTCAAGCGGTAGCGTGTTTGCCTGGCATGTGCGTGGCACTAGGTTGTATCCTCAGCACCACATTTTTTTTTTTTTTTTTAAGTACACATAATTTATCAAATACAACAAGTTGTCTTTTGGTTTCATGAAAATTTCATACTGTATTGGTCCTTAGAAAGCATTTTGTCTAGCCTTCTTACTTTATGGATGTAAACAACTGGAGTTCTGAAAAAAAGTTTCACTTATGTGATGTTAGGGTCCCCAGACCGGAAGCGCCRCGCTTTAACTAGATCTTGCTCCTCTGAGTCCAAACCCCAGCGCCGCCAAGGTGCCRGCTTACCACTCTTCCCTCATGGACCCTGACACCAAACTCATTGGAAACATGGCCCTGTGGTCTATCAGAAGTCAGTTCAAAGGGCCTGCCCCTAGAGAGACAAAAGATACAGATGTTGTGGATGAAGCCATCTATTACTTCAAGGCCAATGTCTTCTTCAAGAACTATGAAATTAAGAATGAAGCTGATAGGACCTTGATATATATCACCCTCTACATTTCTGAGTGTCTAAAGAAACTCCAAAAGTGCAATTCCAAAAGCCAAGGTGAGAAAGAAATGTATACCCTGGGAATCACTAATTTTCCCATTCCTGGAGAGCCTGGTTTTCTACTTAATGCAATTTATGCCAAACCTGCGAACAAACAGGAAGACCAAGTCATGCGAGCCTACCTACAGCAGCTAAGGCAAGAGACTGGACTGAGACTTTGTGAGGAAGTTTTTGACCCTCAGAATGATAAACCCAGCAAGTGGTGGACTTGCTTTGTGAAGAGACAGTTCATAAACAAGAGTCTTTCAGGACCTGGGCAATGAAGGGCGCCTGGGCAGCCAGTCTCCAGCACCTTGGCAGCATTTCACAGCAAGATGTATACGACCCTTTGCCTTTATCTCTTAAAGTTTTATACAGAAGCAAGAAGAGAGCATGACTCTACTTGAAAAGCTCTTGATCAAGAATTTGGGGGTTGGGGGTGAGTTGTTGAAGGATAACTTGAAATTTTATGCAGTATTAAGCTGGTGCTTAATAAGAATGAATAATAAAGAACTTTCTAACRTTAAAAAAAATGTGATGTTACACACTTAGTTATTGACAAAGTGAGACTTTAAGTCGTATCATTTGGCAACCAGTCCTATTTTCTTGGTATTATGCCATGTCTTCTGTTGCTATAGTTCATTGTCATTCCAGAGTATGCAAATGAGTATTAAACTCCTTGTCTTTGGGATCATAATCATCTGCTGTATAACTTCAAGTAGTGTTGTCTAATTCTTATTCCTGTTTTGTTATTTTTACTCTTTCCAGCCCTCCTCATTGTAACCATTGTTAAATTAAATTGTACTGCTCTCCCCTACCATTTGATCAGTGGTTTTCTCTTCACAGCCCAATATCCTCTAAGTGAAAATCCAGAGGCATAGGCTCTTGAATGCTTTCTTTACTCTTTCCATGTATCATTATGAAGATTGCCTGTTGTTTATAAGTAAATAAATATCTGCAGCCAAGCAAATTTTATAAATAGATTAACCATCTCAGGTTTTGAACACTCCACTTCAAATGGAAATAACTTGGAGCAACTGAATGCAGAACAAGAGTGCAGGATTCAGAATCATAAGGGTTCATCAATCTTAGTTCTTTGTCATTTACCATGAGCTTGGTCAAGTGAGTCCATGTTTCTGAAGATTTGCGTTTTCATCTCCAAAATAAGAATAAAATCCATGTGGTAAGTGTGCTGTTATCACTAAAAGGAGTGTTGGGCATCGCACTGTGCTAGTGAGGCACAAGGCCAGTGTGCCTGCTAAGTGCACATGGTGACATCTAACAGATCCATTTCCACTTGAAATAGGAACACACCTTGGCTCCTAGTGTAACTGTAACTGTTGTATTACAAGGGGCTTTCAAGCACTGAATAATTTTAGTTGTCAGAGTTTACCAATAACAAAAGGCCATGTTCATTTATATTGCTTTTGTTTGTAACTTAAACCATAAGCCTGTCTTTTGATATTTTTTTCTTAATAATCTTAAATGGTACAGAAACTCATTCATTTTAGCTAAATCAGGTGATTTCAGATTATGTTTCTTTGTAAACTGTCCTACAAATTTAATAGTATGATAACCTTGTTAATTTTTGTGAGGCATTTATGAGCCACTTGTTTGGACCCAGAAACAATTCTGGGAGCAACCTGAGTTTTTCTAAATCTAGGTGTGAATGCCAGTGATTGAGTCTGTAGATCATCTGCCCATGGGGCGTGATGTGATTTTATTTAGGAGAATTGTAAATCCCAGGTAGAAGTTTTATTATGAGCCAGCCTATTTTAACATGCTCTCCAAAGCATTTTCAAATTGTTTTAATGATTACTAACTTATATGTCCACAGTGTACTTCATGAAACACTGGATTATACTTCTAGTTTTCCAACTCTGTGTTCTAGAATGCACGTCTTCCAAGAAACTGAAAACAATAATAACAAAAAATAATATTTTAGTATTATAGGCTGTGAACATCTTGTTAATTTGAAATAGTAGGTTTTTATTTAAACTTGCTATGCTATTGATCAATATGTCTTTATTTTTCAAGTCCATCATATTTAACTGAGATGAATATTTTCAATCCAATACCTATACACCTCAATTTACCTTTCAATTTCAGAATCACTGACTTCTTTGCAAACTTGATGAGCTCTTCCTTGGGCAATGTTTCCCACTGAAAGGTGTCACAAATTTTTCTCACTCACGTTTCCACTATGCCACAAAAGAAAAACACAATGTCTTAGAAGGTGATTTCTTCTCAATCAGCCTCCCTCTCACCATGTAAAAGTTTTCTAATCCATTGTCCTTCCACTCTTCAGTGAGYTTGTTGATCGAGCATTCTCTTCACCTTAGATATCCAGGTCCCAGCAGGACTGCTGAAGCCTCCCCATCCTAAACAGGACCTCCATCATCACCCTGGTCCAGGACCTGGGAGCTAGGACCAGAAGCCTCACCGCTGTAGCACAGCTTCTGTCCCTGTCAGCCAACCAATATATCTTATTGTAAAAGAATTCAAGCACATTTTGATAATGGAAAATTTGCATAATGAATATTTGACCTTTTAGTTGCRTTAGTTCAGTATTTTCTGTTATGTTCATTCTTAATGTAATACATTCAACAAAATATATTAGAAATACAAAAGGGACCTTTGCTTATATCTACATGTATGTATTTGGGATAATGGGTCATAATTTCATAATAATACCTCTTATTTGCTGAGCATCTTTTAAATTTTTGTAGCATGAAGAAAATTACAAAACTCATATTTTGTGGATACTGAGACATTTTGAAATACTTTGGTACTTCTCCATTGACTAGTATTCCTGATATGTCTTACTGGAATGCTTCTCAAGTGGAAAGTCCATGAGTACACTTTAGGGAGATGCCCCTAGACATTCCTGTATCTCAAATAGAAAAACTATTGGTCCATAACATCTAGATATATTTTGGTCTTGAATTAATTTTTAAAGTGATTACAGCAGAGGGTGTTGAAATTGAGACTGGCAGTTTGAAGGAGTTTTAGATGTCCAGACTCATAATCTTTTATTTGGCAATTCAGAGTCTTGTAAACTTAATTTTGCACAGTCCATTTGAGAGGAAGAACTTTGGGTTGCATAGAATGGGTTCTAGGACTCCACAGAGATTAAGTACCACTGACTTCTGCAAGCAGTTGACATTTTCTTTAATGTCATACTAAAAAGGAATTAATTATCTATTGTTTTAAACACATTTTAATGACTAGTTCATATGTGGATAAATCTATTATAATTAACTTATGCAAAACTTCATTATAGTTGCTATTGGGTCTCTTTTTTTAGGAAATTGAATTGCAACTACATTAAAGACTGCTATTAAAATAATACTTTTTGTTTTATCGATAACTTCACCATAAACTTTCAGCTTGAGATTAATTTTAAGTGCATTTGTTCCAACTATTCCCAATAAAGTGAATAAACTAGCYGAATGTGCTAAAGACTGAAAGCATTGGCCAGAGATTATGCATCAATAATCTTGGAAGAGAACCAGAAGTTTTATAATCACAGTTAGCCAAGCCTAAGTAATGATTCCTTCAAAGTTGAGAACACTAGTGTGCTAGCGTCTCATGAATGCTTTAAACTTTGATTGAGGAGGGGGGCTTCTGAGCTCAGGCCAGAGTACCCATAGGGATTTGCACCTGATCAGACCTTTCTTTTTCTGAGTAGTTAATAGCTGCTTCTGCCAGAAAACCAGATCAAAGCATAGCAGGGGAGATTAGTACATTGGTTTTATCAGCCATTTTCCAGCTAYAGCTCTTACAAAGCTGATAACAGGGTGGGGGTAAATGAAATCATCTGCTCTCAACCTCCCTGTGGTGCTTTCATCTTGATTTGTTTAAGAACCTGGGAGGACCACATCTACAGTGTGGACACCTGGTCAGTCCCCTCTCTATCCCTGTCAGAGTTTAAAGCACTTAACTGGTAATCACTACTCTGACTGGGGGCAGTTGGGTACCATGTTTTCTTTGCTTTTGACTTGGCAACCGCTGTGGCTCCTTCAGCACCTGGTCCTCTGCCAGCCATCTCTGTTACCTTGGATTGACTTCAGAAGACTGTTTTTGAGGTTTGTGTTTCTCTCACTATTATCAAGGCAAACTGTCTCAGCTTCTATTCCCTCCCTCCATAGACTGCGGAACTCATGCAGCCTTTGTCCTTTTTATTCCTTCAAGGCTGCTCCCAATGTTAAAGACCCAAATAAAGCAAATCTTACTTGCCAAAAAATGACAATTGAAGTCAGAATCATAGCCCTTGAGGATTAAAAAAAAAAAAAAAAGACCTTAGCTACCCAGTCCTGCCCTTTCCTTTTATATAGCATATCTGTGACTTAAAAAACAAAGCAGGAGTTAGACTTTTGGTCTCATGATACCTGATTATCACACTGATTTCTCTATGACAAGATTCTGTGCTGCCTACGTTTAAAGAGAATGAGTCCTGACATTCATTTTATTTCTCCTTTTGGGATGAGAAACAAAATTCTCTTGAATGGCATTTTGAAGAAAATATGGATCATCTACAATAATTCCACTTGGGTGTGGTGGTGCGCACTCCTGTAATTCCAACTACTCAGGAATCTGAGTCAGGAGCATCACAAGTTTGAGGCCAGCAACTTAGCAAGACCCTGTCTCAAAATAAAAATTTAAGAAAAGGACTGGTGTGAGGGCTGGAGCTCTGGCTCTGTGGTAGAGCACTCACTTGGCATGCATGAGGCACTGGGTTCTATGCTCAGCACCACATAAAAATTAAAGGCACTGTGTCCACCTACAACTAAAAAAATACATATTAAAAAAAAAAGGACTGGGGGTGTAGCCTAGTGGTAAAGAACTCCTAGGTTTAATTCCTGGTTCTGCTAACAATATAAATAAATAATTATACAATGAAATAACTCTACAAATACATTGTTAAGACTACAAGATGCTGCATAACACACCCTCTCCAAAACCCATGTGTAAATGATATTTCTAATCTTTCTAACATTATATTGTACACGGAAGATTTTTTAGAATTGGGTATAGTGAAAATGCAACTTTCATGGGGAATATGTTTATAATACATAACTGCACTTTTTTAATAGTGAGTRCTAATTATGGTACTATTTGTAGCTTTGTCAGGTTGGTGAAAAGTGAAGTATAACAATAGAATTTAAAATATCTGGATCTCTKAATCACTACAACTCAAAGTACTATTTCTAACATACTTAAACCTTTAGAGTCAGATTTAAGCACTGCCATTTTTTTCATTTTAAAAGAATATGATGTTGTGCTTTTAGATAATTTCTCATATATTCTCA